AAACTGTGGGAGGAGTTAGGGTGGTAAATTTGGCTATAATAATAATAATAATAATTTATATGTGAGATAACATTAAGTGGTCTTGCTATGATACTAGTCACCAGCATATACACTGAGACATGATACTCGTATACACCAGCATATACACTGAGATATGATACTCGTATACACCAGCATATACACTGAGACATGATACTCGTATACACCAGCATATACACTGAGATATGATACTCGTATACACCAGCATATACACTGAGACATGATACTCGTATACACCAGCATATACACTGAGATATGATACTCGTATACACCAGCATATACACTGAGACATGATACTCGTATACACCAGCATATACACTGAGATATGATACTCGTATACATCATCATATACACTGAGATATGATACTAGTATACACCAACATATACACTGAGATGAAGTGGTAGAGGTTAACACAGTGAGGGAGTTTAAGCATGCGTGGGATAGGCATAAGGCTATCCTAACTATAAGATAAGGCTAGGGACTAACGAAAGTATTTAAAAAAATTGGGCAGACTAGATGGGCCAAATGGTTCTTATCTGCCGTCACATTCTATGTTTCTATGTTTCTATAGTAGTATACACCAACATATATAAATGTTAAAGAATTGCTTTTTGTTTTAAGTCCTTCAAGCAATATGTGCAGTAGTGAAATTACTCTGAACGTGAAAATCAGAAAAATCTATCAGACAATGCTGCGAAAGGTGTAAAGTCTACATATTTTACTATTACAAACTAAAGGAATGGATGTACACCCAAATATACACATATAACATTTCAGTAATATTGCAAATATATCAAATAGATCCCCATCAGAAATACATATATATTTATGTCTGATTAGGTTTCCAGCGGTTTTATTTAGTATTTTATTAAACTTCTGAAACTGTGTCCTAAAGGGGTTAAAAGCATTCAACTTCTTACCAACTGTGTCATAATATCATGTTTTATAACTATACTGAACACTTTATCAGATGCTGCTGTGACCAGTGGCTACAGATTACAGAATAAGGCACAGTGTGGGTTTAGTGGCTGCCTGCAGGCCAAGATTACCCGGATCTGAGATACTCTGCAAACAGTAATGTGTAGTGTTTGTGGAGACTAATAATATTTACAAATGGTGTAGTGTAGGGGTTAATGTGTAATGTAGTGGGTGTTCACATAGTGTAGGGTTAATGCATAGTGTTTGTGGAGACTAATATTTACAAATGGTGTAGTGTAGGGGTTAATGTGTAATGTAGTGGGTGTTCACATAGTGTAGGGTTAATGCATAGTGTTTGTGGGGGCTAATATTTACAAATGGTGTAGTGTAGGGGTTAATGTGTAATGTGTAATTTAGTGGGTGTTCACATAGTGAAGGGTTAATGTGTAGTGTGTTGAAGAAAGGACTTAATGTAAGGGCACAGCTGTAATTAGTGGGAGTTATAGTATGGGGCTGCAGCTATTTTAACTTCCACTAATCTCGTGCAGACTGGTTCATGTATTTGCCGTCTCTGTCCATGTTTAGGGTTCGCAGACTGTACTTGCGTGACCTGTATATTATTCCCCATTCATTATGAGGAACAATTGCAGTGATGATGTCACTATTGGAAGAAATAAGTAAAACCCATAACTTTAACGCGATGCAAATCTCTGCTTACGTAAAACCCGAGAGACACCTAAAGCCCACTCTCCGGCTCTCAAACCGAAGCGCCCAGTCCACTCACCATCAAATTGCTATTATTATTTTTTTTTTACTTTAAATTCTCCAACAAGCTTTTCTCTCACTTCCCATTTCCCCCTGTAAATTGTAAGCTCACAGGTCATCATCATCCGAGCATGTTTTAGAGCCTGTATAGACATGCTAGGTTATCAACTTTCAGGCAGAGCTCTCCTTTCCTTTGTTGGAGTACGTCTGCAACTGGTACCTGTCTTTAACCCCTTAAAGACCAAACTTCTGGAATAAAAGGGAATCATGACATGTCACACATGTCATGTGTCCTTAAGGGGTTAATTTGCCGACTATAAAGTGCTGTAGAAAATGTTCACGCTTTATTTAAAAAAATGGCTGTATTTGTCATTCCTGCTCTTTAACAAATTGTACACAGAAACATCAGCTGATAGGTGGCTGTAATATCACTAATTAGTCTCACAGTAAACTAAATTTAATCAAAGTAAAAGATCATTTAGAGTAAGATAGAGAAGCAGTGAATATAGCGGCATTAGAGAGTTTTTACAAATGTGCACTTTAGCCAAAAGTTTACAGTTTGGTGTTTAGGGGGGAAAAAAAACTGTCTTGAAATTAAATTTTATTTTAAGTTTAGGTCATCATAGCTAACGGAAAACATGGCTGACTTACTACCATTTGTGCTATGTTCTAAAATTTAAGATGTATTTTGGCAGGGCTATTTACTACAATGAGAATTCAAAGTGGATTTTAAATCCAAGTCCAAAATAGCCAAACTGGAAGCATAGGTGACTTAGGTAATTTTTACAGTTTGGCTATTTTGACCTTAAATTTGAAATTCCCTTTAAATTCTCATTTTACCAAATATAACCTTATGTGTGTTTATTTAACAAGCGAAAGTATTGGTAAAGATAAGATGAAATTTAGCAGGAAAATTCATAATCTACGTCAACTCATTGATTTGTGAAAACTCATATATTCTAAAAAAATTTATTTTTCTACAGTCACTAAATTTATGAAAATATACAAAAATATTATCCTCTCTCGTCACAAAATATAAGCACGAGGGTTCTGTCACTTTGCAGGTTTTGTATTTAAATTAACCCCTTTCTATCCCCTTTTCACCAGGTTGACGTTGTTCTGAAATTAACATTAGTTTTTAGTTATAAATAAGATAAAACGGAGAATCCATTTTCTGACCTTTGACAATGGGTGGAGCTTAAAGCAAAGTTCCATTTCCATTGCCATGGTAGTTTACCAACAATCCATCAGTCGCAAGAGTCCTTCAGAAGGCAAACTGCGGATGACATGAACATCTCCCAGGTATTGAGATCCAGGGAAAGAATAAAATATACATAGTTATTCACCAAACTGAGAATTCAAAGAGAATTGCAAATTAAAGACCAAAATAGCCAAACTGGAAAATTCTCTAAGTCAGTTTTGCTTTCAGTTCGGCTATTTTGGCCCGATTTACTAAACAGAGAACCGCAGAGAAGTCATAAATGGAATTAGAAATTTTAGGTCAAGGGAAAGATTGGGGAATTGTCCTAGTTTTACCCCAAAATGGGGTTAAATATGGCAATATGGTTTAACTCATTGAAGTGTTCTGGGTGCACTGACCCAGGTCCCTTATCCATGGGTAGGCAATTATTGCAGGTTTTATTAAACTGGAATAATTACCTGCTTGGGTTAACTCCACCTCTAGTAGCTGTCTACCAGAGAGCCACTAGAGGGACTTCCGGGCTGTTTGGCGACTTTTGGCCACCTAAATGACGCTGGATGTTCTCACTCTGTGCATTGGGACATCCAGCGCCACCCAAAACCCCATAGGAAAGCATGTAATAATGCTTTCCTATGGGAAGATCCTAATGCAAGCATGGCCAGAGAAAGCGGACCTGAGCCAGCGCCGAGGGACATCAGCACTGGACACAGGTAAGAGACTGAATGGGATTTTAAGGTAAGCACAAAAACTAAATCACTGACAGAGGTGTAGGAGTGGGCAAAAGAGTTACTATGGTGAACCTCACAACACCACAAACAAAAGTAAAAAAGGAAATACTTATACTAAGTATAAGCAATGTAGCTCCCATTGTACAGCGCTACGGAATTTGTTGGCACTATATAAATAATAAAATAATAATAATAATAATAATAATAATATAAGGCAATGAGTACCTGTAGCAAATACAGTATACAAAAAAACAAAAACTCTACATAGCATAATACAGTTACAACAGAATAAATAATGAGGGAAGGGGGAAAGTGAGAAAACTCACAAGACGTCAGATAATTCAGGTTAGTCTACCCACATAAAGGGTTACATGAAGATGGAAACTTCCACTGGTCACTGCAAACGTCAAAAGAAAGCCAATCGCGTGATACAGTAAAAATTCGACACTTTAATATTAAAAATTGCACTTACAAGAGGGCAATAAATGCAGGCTTGTCTAAATAAAAGCAAATAAGAGTCCCACAGTAGGAATGGGATTTTAACCTCCTCTGCACCGAGGGGGTGTGTGGAACGGAGGGGTTGGGCATTGACAGTGTAGGAAGCTATAGTGACAGGAAAATTAGTAATCTGTATTTTGTATAAATTTTGGTCTTTAAGGCAACGCCACTGCTGAGAAAAGCATGTTCCGGGTTGTGCCCCCAATTCTCATTTTTTGCCAAGTTTATTTGGAATCCATACCAATTTCCTATTGGTTTGAACACCCCACCCATTCACTATAGGTGCCCCTATTGAGGTGACTACAGGAGGGGGGGGTTGTGCACGCTATTATATAAGCTATATTTTATACACACCCTGCCTAATAGACCGTAATGTAGTCGAGATAAAAGAGAACTGCCAAAAATAAAATCTATAGTCAATTTGTGTGGAATGTTCATATGAACAGGTCTTTTTATCTAAAGTTCCAGCCAGGCTAAAAGAAGTAAAAAAAAAAAAAATACAAACTGGCTCAAAACTGATAAGAAGATGTGGTATGCACAGATAATTGGGAGGGAGGGACCCTGAGAGGGCTTAGTCAGTAAAAATGTGCTGAAGTACTCTCTGCATGCTGAACAACACAAGCACATGTAATGATGCGGGGAACCAGGGAATTAAAGATGGGCGTCGGGACAGGACCCCGAAATCGGGACTGTCCAGGCCAAAAGCTGGACTGTTGGAATTCTTTCTAAAGTGACAATTGTCTGGAATTAAAAGTGCATTTTAAGGACAATGTAGCTGAACTGAAAGTCTACAGAATTATTATTCAAGTGAGAATTCAAAGTGAATTTCAAATCTAAGGTCAAAATAGCTGAACTGGTGGGGTGTGGAGCTAGGTCCCAATGCGAGTGGTCGCAAGTCCGGGGAGCTCCATGTAAATGGGACGAAATTATTAACATACCGGCAACACAGGGGACACCATGACCACACAGACAGCCTCCAGGACCTCCTTACTAGATGGGGAGAAAATCTAAAAAACCGAGGCCGAATAGCCCCAGGTTCACAGCCAAGGGATTCACTGCGGAGGCCGCATGACTTCTCATGCGACTCTGGTGACTTACCTCTGCACAGCATGGCTGATCTGGACTATAGGCGTCCATCCAAGCCTTCTTCAACGAACAAGGTAAAATTCCCTCCTGTCACAACACCCATACTCACCAGTGTCCTTGCAGATCTCAGGCCATCACTCTCGTCTGAAATCACACAAGCGAGGGAGGAGGTCAAAGGGTTTAATGCACGAATGGCCGCAGTGGAACAAACCATGGAAACACATACCTCACAGATCTCTGAGTTGCAGAAACAAGTTCAAGACCTTACCTACGCCCAAGGTTACCCAAACCACCAACTAGCAGCACAGGAAGATAGGAAAAAATGGAAACACCTTAAAGGACCCCTCCACACCCCAAAAGCACTTCATCTTGCTGAAGTGCTTTGTGGGTGAGGAGTATCCTCGCTTAACCCAAGTTTATAAAAGTGCTGATTTATATGAGAAATTAACTAGGGAACTCCCCCCTGGCTGTCCATCAAACAGCCAGGGAGGATTCCTTCCCACTTCCCTTCATCCCTGCACATTGGACCGGGTGCGCACACGTGCACGAACAGCCGTGTGTGCACACACGTGCATGCACGGTCAGGTATACGTGCATGCAACATTCTGCATGAGCCGGTGCGTGCGTGGGGACCAAGTCAGAGGCTTCTTAATGAGAAGTCTCTGAAAGTCTGTTCTGGGGGGAAAGAGGAGGGGCTTACAAAAGCTGCAGTCATAAGAACTGTGGCTTTTGTAAGCTATTTTAAACTATATTCCCAATGAATACATACATGAAAATAGGAAGGTGGGAGTCTGTAAGTGTGGAGTGGTCCTTTAAGATCAGGGGCCTGTCTGATAGCATCACCATAGCAGAAATGTCACAATTCTCTACTGCCTTCAAAACAAAGAGCATAACTCTTGGTGGCATATTTCACCTGCCCAAACCTCAACCAAGCACAGCAACCGCTACAAGCAATCTCCTGGTAAAGTTCCAGAATGGGCAGGATAAGGCTGCTTTTCTGAATACAACTAGGGGAAAGACCCCATACCGATTTGAAGAGACGGATCCCACACAACTCTGCAGTGGAGGAAGACTCTCCGACCTGTGACATCTATCCTAAATGCCAAAGGCACTTTGAATTATCACTTCGGTGAATAACACTGATAATTGACTTGAAGTTTTATTTACTTTTTACATCCTTTTTACCATTTTCGGAATCAATTCGTTTGAAGACTACCAGGAATTTATTTGGATGAATTGCAGGAAAAAAAAAAATTAAACGTCAAATAAAACAAAAAAATGATGCAAGAGTAAGCTTTGGTTTTTAAACAAATCTTTCCCCCAATGTCAGTGCTGGATTTTCTGGAACACTAACAGAGTTTTTCACTAAATTGACGAGAATTTTAAGTTGAAGCCAAACTGGAAACATACCTAAGTGGGAGAATTTTTCCAGTTTGATATTAAGTTTGAAATTGATTTACAATTTTCTGCAGTTTTCAGTTTAGTGAATAACCCTTTTAGCTACTTTCACAATCTTTGTTTTTAGTTCAAGGAATAAAAAAAAAAAAAATACTTTAAATTGTGAATATACCTTTTTATTCATAGTAATATTAGTCATTTGTCGTATTCGGGGAATGTAACGAGTGGTATAATCAATAGGAGGAAAAAGGAACTTGGGGGTAGAGCAAGGGGAATACTGACATACCCCACATTGTGTAGATTTGAGGGAATGCATGTTGATGTTGCTGGATGCTACACATGTTTAATTTGTCATTATAATCACAGTAGATCTGTGTATCTGTGTCTATAGCTGTATACCTACCTAGTCTCTCTTTTCCTTACTGTCTTACTTTAGGATAAATTAATGCACACTGGACGGGACTGCACGTCAAACAGATGATAGATGTATATTTATTTAACTTGGTGTAATCTATAACCACACATGATGGCACAGACTCATATTGATCCTATATTGAAAGTGAACATCACTGGGGTACAAATCAGTGTGTGTCGCCATTCATAACACATAGTGCTCCCTGGCAATAAACACTGCACATTGATAACACACAGTGCTCCCTGGTAATAACACTGCACATTAATAACACACGTGCTCCCTTGTAATATACACTGCACATTGCTAACACACAGTGCTCCTTTGTAATATACACTGCACTTTGATAACACAAAGTGCTCCCTTGTAACATACACTGCACATTGATAATTCACAGTGCTCCCTTGTAATATACACTGCACATTGATAACACACAGTGCTCCCTGGTAATAACACTGCACATTAATAACACACGTGCTCCCTTGTAATATACACTGCACATATAACACATGCTGCTGAATAACACACAGTGCTCTTGTAATGAATACACTGCACATTGATAATTCACAGTGCTCCTTGGTAATATACACTGCACATTGATAACACACAGTGCTCCCTGGTAATAACACTGCACATTAATAACACACGTGCTCCCTTGTAATATACACTGCACATTGCTAACACATAGTGTCCCTGTAATAAACACTGCACATTGATAACACACTTCCCTACACTACATTGATAATTCTGCTCCCTTGTAATATTCACTGCACATTGATAACACACAGTGCTCCCTTGTAATATACACTGCACATTGATAGTTCACAGTGCTCCCTTGTAATATTCACTGCATATTGATAACACACAGTGGTCCCTAGTAATATACACTGCACATTGATAATTCATAATGCTCCCTTGTAATACTCACTGCATATTGATAACACACAGTGGTCCCTAGTAATATACACTGCACATTGATAGTTCACAGTGCTCCCTTGTAATATTCACTGCATATTGATAACACACAGTGGTCCCTAGTAATATACACTGCACATTGATAATTCATAATGCTCCCTTGTAATACTCACTGCATATTGATAACACACAGTGGTCCCTAGTAATATACACTGCACATTGATAGTTCACAGTGCTCCCTTGTAATATTCACTGCATATTGATAACACACAGTGGTCCCTAGTAATATACACTGCACATTGATAATTCACAGTGCTCCCTTGTAATACTCACTGCACATTGATAACACACAGTGCTCACTTATCATATCCACTGCACATTAATAACACAGTGCTCCCTGGTAATATACACTGTACTATGATAACACACAGTGCTCATTTGTAATAAACACTGCACATTAATAACACAGTGCTCCCTGGTAATATACACTGTACTGTGATAACACACAGTGCTCCCTTGTAATATTCACTGCATATTGATAACACACAGTGGTCCCTAGTAATATACACTGCACATTGATAATTCACAGTGCTCCCTTGTAATACACACTGCACATTGATAACACACAGTGCTCACTTATAATATACACTGCACATTAATAACACAGTGCTCCCTGGTAATATACGCTGTACTATGATAACACACAGTGCTCCTTGAAAATAAACACTGCACATTGATAACAGTGCTCCCCGGTAATATACACTGCACATTGATAATTCACAGTGCTCCCTTGTAATATACACTGCACATTGATAACACACAGTGCTCCCTGGTAATAACACTGCACATTGATAACACGCAGGGCTCCCTAGTAATATGCACTGCATATTGATAACACAGTGCTCCCTGGTAATATACACTGTACTATGATAACACACAGTGCTCCTTTGTAATAAACACTGCACATTAATAACACAGTGCTCCCTGGTAATATACACTGTACTGTGATAACACACAGTGCTCCTTTGTAATAAACACTGCACATTAATAACACAGTGCTCCCTGGTAATATACACTGTACTGTGATAACACACAGTGCTCCCTTTGATAACACACACAGTGCTCCCTGGCAATATACACTGCACATTGATAATTCATAGTGCCCACTTGTAATACACACTGCACATTGATAATTCACAGTGCTCCCTTGTAATATTCACTGCACATTGATAACACACTGTGCTCCTTGAAAATAAACACTGCACATTGATAACAGTGCTCCCTGGTAATATACACTGCACATTGATAATTCACAGTGCTCCCTTGTAATATACACTGCACATTGATAACACACAGTGCTCACTGGTAATATACACTGCACTATGATAACACACAGTGCTCCTTGAAAATAAACACTGCACATTGATAACAGTGCTCCCCGGTAATATACACTGCACATTTATAATTCACAGTGCTCCCTTGTAATATACACTGCACATTGATAACACACAGTGCTCCCTGGTAATAACACTGCACATTGATAACACGCAGGGCTCCCTAGTAATATGCACTGCATACTGATAATACACTGTGCTCCCTTGTAATATACACTGCACATTAATAACATACAGTGCTCCCTTGTAATATACACTGCACACTGATAACACACAGTGCTCCCTTGTAATATACACTGCATATTGATAATACACAGTGCTCCCTTTTAATATACACTGCACATTGATAACACACAGTGCTTCCTTTCTTATATACACTGCACCTGAATAACACACAGTGCTTTCTTGTAATGAACACTTCACATTGATAGCACACAGTGCTCCCTTGTAATATACACTGCACATTGATAATTCACAGTGCTCCCTTGTAATATACACTGCACATTGATAACACACAGTGCTCCCTGGTAATAACACTGCACAGTAATGACACACCGTGCTCCCTTGTAATATACAGTGCTCAATGATAACACACAGTGCTTTCTTGGAACATACACTGCACATTGATAACACACAGTGCTCCTTGAAAATAAACACTGCACATTGATAACAGTGCTCCCCGGTAATATACACTGCACATTGATAATTCACAGTGCTCCCTTGTAATATACACTGCACATTGATAACACACAGTGCTCCCTGGTAATAACACTGCACATTGATAACACGCAGGGCTCCCTAGTAATATGCACTGCATATTGATAACACAGTGCTCCCTGGTAATATACACTGTACTATGATAACACACAGTGCTCCTTTGTAATAAACACTGCACATTAATAACACAGTGCTCCCTGGTAATATACACTGTACTGTGATAACACACAGTGCTCCTTTGTAATAAACACTGCACATTAATAACACAGTGCTCCCTGGTAATATACACTGTACTGTGATAACACACAGTGCTCCCTTTGATAACACACACAGTGCTCCCTGGCAATATACACTGCACATTGATAATTCATAGTGCCCACTTGTAATACACACTGCACATTGATAATTCACAGTGCTCCCTTGTAATATTCACTGCACATTGATAACACACTGTGCTCCCTTGTAATATACACTGCATATTGATAACACACAGTGCTCACTGGTAATATACACTGCACTATGATAACACACAGTGCTCCTTGAAAATAAACACTGCACATTGATAACAGTGCTCCCTGGTAATATACACTGCACATTGATAATTCACAGTGCTCCCTTGTAATATACACTGCACATTGATAACACACAGTGCTCACTGGTAATATACACTGCACTATGATAACACACAGTGCTCCTTGAAAATAAACACTGCACATTGATAACAGTGCTCCCCGGTAATATACACTGCACATTTATAATTCACAGTGCTCCCTTGTAATATACACTGCACATTGATAACACACAGTGCTCCCTGGTAATAACACTGCACATTGATAACACGCAGGGCTCCCTAGTAATATGCACTGCATACTGATAATACACTGTGCTCCCTTGTAATATACACTGCACATTAATAACATACAGTGCTCCCTTGTAATATACACTGCACACTGATAACACACAGTGCTCCCTTGTAATATACACTGCATATTGATAATACACAGTGCTCCCTTTTAATATACACTGCACATTGATAACACACAGTGCTTCCTTTCTTATATACACTGCACCTGAATAACACACAGTGCTTTCTTGTAATGAACACTTCACATTGATAGCACACAGTGCTCCCTTGTAATATACACTGCACATTGATAATTCACAGTGCTCCCTTGTAATATACACTGCACATTGATAACACACAGTGCTCCCTGGTAATAACACTGCACATTAATAACACACGTGCTCCCTTGTAATATACACTGCACATTGCTAACACACAGTGCTCCCTGGTAATAACACTGCACATTGATAACACACTGTGCTCCCTTGTAATATACAGTGCACATTGATAACACACAGTGCTTCCTTTCTTATATACACTGCACCTGAATAACACACAGTGCTTTCTTGTAATGAACACTGCACATTGATAACACACAGTGCTCCTTGGTAATATACACTGCACATTGATAACACACAGTGCTCCCTGGTAATAACACTGCACATTGATAACACGCAGGGCTCCCTAGTAATATGCACTGCATACTGATAATACACTGTGCTCCCTTGTAATATACACTGCACATTAATAACATACAGTGCTCCCTTGTAATATACACTGCACACTGATAACACGCAGTGCTCCCTTGTAATATACACTGCATATTGATAATA